AAAGAAGCACCAGAACACCAAAGTCAACCACAACAAACACAAAATCAAAATATTAAAGAACCCAAGGCCATCAAAATCCCAAAAGAAGTTTGCTCTACTTTCAAGGGCACTATATCTCCCCCAAACAAATCAACTAAACCAAAGAACACAGGGAAACCCCCGATCACCGCCAAGCTTCTTAAGCCGGGAGAGACCATTGAAGACTTCTTTTGGAAAAATATAGACCTATATAAAAAGAATATTCTGTCACACACCAAGCGACTAAACATGACCGAGATGGACTGCCTCTCTTCTCAAGGAGAACAGAAACATGAGCAGCTGCAGGAACCCAATTCAAGTCAACAATCCAATCACTCTACAGTGTCCCATACTATAACCCCTTTTTTAGAAACAAACAGCCTGAAAAAAGCAAAAGAAAAATCTGCAAATCTCCAAATAATTCTTGTGTAGCAATAATGCACCAAAATATTAGAGGACTTGCTACAAAGACGAACAGACTACACCATATTCTCAATGACACAAAACCAAGCATTCTAGTCTTGACTGAACACGGACTGAAAAAAACAGAGCTAGAAGCTACAAAAATTCCCGGCTACTCTTTAATTACCCACTTTAGTAGAGAAGAACATAAACTTGGAGGTGTTGCAATATATTCCAAGGAATCCCTTGCTGATACAGTATCAGCTATTAACATATCAAACACATGCCAGGAGTTAATTTTCGAAGCAGCAATGATTCGCATGCAGACAACAAAGAAAAAGGATATCTACATTCTGGGAATCTATAGACCACCAATCGAAAATGCAAGAATTGCCCTTGACCTCCTATCAGACACGCTAGAACTACAAGAAGTACACAAGAAAAACCTCATACTCATCGGTGACATGAATATCGATAGGCTCACCCAAGATTCCAAAAACACCATGCTGGAAGAAGAGTTAACCACACAAAACATCTGGAGATTTCCTCTAAAGGCCACCAGAATAACCCATGACACAGCCACTTCAATAGACTGTATATGCTCAAACATACCATATGCGTATATTACTGGACAAGTTGTGCATACTGGTCTATCTGACCACACTGCGCAGCTGTGCCTGCTGAAAACACACCAAGAAGACACTTCCCAAAGATTTGTAATGAAAAGAAGCCTAAACAACACAAACCTAAACAATCTAAAGGCTCACCTCCATCTACAAAATTGGGAACATGTTTACTCTTCACCGAATCTTGAAACCTCCTACAACAAATTTCATAATATTCTTCAAACAGCACTGGATTATACATGCCCATTAAAGAAAATTAAAATTAGTACAAACAAAAAACATATGAAGTACTACGATCCTGAAGCAAAATACCTTAAAGAGAACTTTTTGAAAGCTCTGCCAAAGTTTGAGTTAACGAACAGAAATGAAGACAAATTAGAAATGATTAATAGAAAAAGGATATACGAAATGAAACTAAGAAACCTAAAAATGTCCTCAACAGCTAGCTTCATAGAACAAGCTGACAACAAACCAAAAGCACTATGGCAAGTTATAAACAAGGAAAGGAAAGGAAAATGTGAAGAGAAAACCCTTACAGAATTAGAAATAAATGGCAAACTCACAAACGACACAAAAGAAATGGCCGAACACTTCAACACATTCTTCTCAAATATAGCAGAAAATACCCTTGACCAAAACAGAGCAATCGTTATAGACCCTGAAACAGTGCAGAATGGAGAGGAACCAGTCTGCCCAATACACCTTACCCTAACTTCAACATCCTATAAAGAAGTTAAAACGATAATAAACTCCCTAAAAGCCAAAACATCAAGTGGAATAGATGAGTTTTCCTCTAAGATGATAAAGCACTGCTCTCAAGAACTCATCTCTCCTCTGGTTTATCTTATAAATAAATCATTTAAAGAAGGCAAATTCCCATCCGCAATAAAAGTCAGTAAAATATACCCCAAACATAAAATAAACGGTATCAGCATTCTGACACATACTTTCTCCCATAAGTTTGTCAACAACCTTTATCGTAAGTAAGCGGTGAGAGTAAATATACGGAAATGGGATTTGTATAATTTTCTTCAGAATTTAAAGGACTATAACATACTAAATTTTTATCAAAATCGTTCGAGCCAATTTTGGAAAAATCTGATTTTCCGTTATTTTATGGGGTTTTTATGGGAAAATAACATAATTTACAATAACTTTTGAATCGTAATTTTTACAGAAATGGGATTTGTACAATTTTCTTCAGAATATAAAGGACTATAATATACTAAATTTTTATCAAAATTGTTCAGGCCATTTTTGGGAAAATCCTATTTTTCCGTTATTTTATGGGGTTTTATGGGAAAATAACATAATTTACCATAACTTTTGAACCGTAATTTTTACAGAAATGGGATTTGTACCATTTTGTTCAGAATTTAAAGGGCTACAACATACTAAATTTTTATCAAAATCGTTCAGGCCATTTTTGAGAAAATCAGATTTTTCCGGTTTTTTATGGGTTTTTATGGGAAAATCCCCATTAAAAATCAAAATTTCAAAAAAATGAAAAAAACGCCTGGAGATACCATGGATTAGAACCTACATACCAAATTTCATCGAAATCGGACCACAGGTGTAGTCTCTAGCTCTGTACACATCCAGACACACAGACACACAGACACACACACACACACACACACACACACACACACAGACATCACTTCGAAAACCACTTTTTTGGGTCCAGGGGGACCCAAAACGAATATATCCACTCAAAACTCAAACTCGAAAATTTTGACGAAAACAATACTTTCTCCATATACTATGGTATAGGGGGAGAAAGTAAAAGGACCAACTGAAAATGCTCAAAACTACAGGCCCATCTCTCTCATCTCCAGTTTGTCTAAAATCATAGAAAAAATTGCTCTGGCTAGATTAATGGCACATCTTAATCATAACAGACTCTTAACTGACAGCCAACATGGCTTTCGGAAGAATAAATCTACATCCTCAGCTATAACAGCACTAATTGAGTACGTCCTAGACCAGATAGAAAACGAACAATACATTTCCGCCATCTTCCTTGATTACAGTAAGGCTTTTGACTGCCTGGGCCACGACCTGATATGCAAGAAACTCGAAAGACTCGGTATAAGAAACTCTGCGCTAGAATGGTTCAAAAGCTACCTAACGGGACGTTCACAAGTCGTGGAACTGAAAAACTCATCAAATGAAGTCACAGAAAGTTTCAAATCTTCAAAAAGCAAGCTGACGAGAGGAGTTCCACAAGGCTCTGTATTAGGCCCGATTCTTTTCATCTTATTGACTAATGACTTCCCCAAACAAATTGAGAGTGAAAATGCTGTTGCTATCATGTATGCAGATGACACAACCATTTTGATCAAGGACAACACAGCCCAAAACCTTTACCTTAATTCAAAATCGATCCTAAATAAAGCTATCCTCTACTCAAAGAACAATGACTTAGCAATAAACCCCACAAAAACTACAACTCTGAATTTCAGTAAGAAAAAAGACATAGTCCCTCAATTAGAGGATGTAACAATAAAAAACCACACAAAATTTCTCGGTGTTATCCTTGATAACAAACTAACATGGAAAGAGCACATCAACCACTTAAGCAAAAAAATCAGTACTGGAATATATGTCGTCAGAAGAATAAACTACATAGGCGGACTCTCCGTTTCCAAAACAGCTTACTTCGCACTGGTAGAGTCGCATCTTAGATATGGCTTGACAGTGTGGAGAGGAACTTCAACAAAAAATATGAATCGAATTCTTGTCCTTCAAAAGAAAGCCATAAGAGCCCTCGCCAACCTTGTCCCACCACAGACTTGCAGACTAGCATTCGCAAACCTAGGAATCCTCACAGTGGTGTCTCTCTACATACTTGAATCTATAAAGTATGTGAATGAAATAAACCCCCCAAGAAACCGAGACCTGCACCACTACAACACCCGTCATGGCTCCAAATTTGCACTACCAGTTCACCGAACAACTCTTTGGGAGAAAAAACCTTCCTACACCGGCTGCAAGCTGAGGAACCATCTACCTGACTACCTGAGAGACCTGACTGCAACAAGCTACACCAGGAGTTGAAGAAGTGGCTAATCGCAAGACCCTTCTACTCAATAAAGGAATTTTATGAAAATTAACATGTAAAATTCACTATTGTATTGACACTATTGTAATTCTTGACGAATTAACAATAAAGAATATTGTATTGTATTGTATTGTATTGTATCACATAAAATTGAACTGTTAGGCAGTTATCAGTAACAAAAATGGTGGGAGTCAAAACTGTTTGGGTTGAATGCAATCACTACACTTTTTCTGTACCGCCTTGTTTGAAAATAAGTAAATATATAAGCTTAAAATGTAATTTCGGTTCTCAAAAAATCATTGTCTGCAAATGCCATTTAGTAGTATAAACCTGATAATTTGGCTTTAAATAAGCTTAAACTTATCTTGTCCAATGAAACAGCTGATCTTAAGTAAGTCAGTAACAAAGCTACACACATCATCTGATCTCGAACACCATTCTACACTCATCCTTTACACTTATTTGGGTTAAAATATGCTTGTAGGTGGCGTCCCTATCGCAATGATTGATGATTGATAAGCCTACACAGCTGTCACCAATGGGTATCTTAGCACTCTGTAATTTATTGATGATAGCATCTTTAACAAACAATAGCCTAAATCAATTGAGTTTTGTAACTTAAGTAGATGTAATAAACATAAAGTAATGCCATAACTGATTTATTGAATCCCCTATTAGTCAATGAGTACATAAGAGACCATTAGTCAAGTTAGCTTGAGTCTATATGCTCAAGCTTAGCTGTTAGGTAAGTCTAGTATTGTTTTCAGTAATTGAAACACACTTTTGGTCCTGTGAGTAGGCTATGTTGTCAGATTATCAACAGTAAAAAGTATTGTTTTATCTAGCTTGTTGTAGTGTGAAACTTATACTGAAAAGAATGTTTGTTTTAGGAAACTACTTCGGTAGCCATTTCATCATGGGAGGGGAGCGCTTTGACACTCCACAACCAGAAGCTTATTTGTTCGGAGAAAATGCCGATTTGAATTTTCTTGGAAGTCGACCAACACCTGTACGAGTTTTAATTTTAATTATTCTCAATTTCTTGTATATTTCCTATTGTATGTAAGACGAAAATCAGTTAATATACTACTAAAAGAAAATATTTTCTCAGTAGGCCTTTGCGGGCCGGATGTAGCCCCCAGATCAGGTGTAGCCTGCAGGCCATGTGTAGCTCGCGATAAGCCCCCAGGCCGGATGTAGCCCACAAGCAGTAGGTTGGAGACCCCTTTTTTATGTCATACTAGCAGAGAACCCGTCCTTCGTACGGGATTGGCACTATATTCAAGCTTTGCGTTTGCAATGGGGGAGGACACAGTTTGATAAAATTTGCGTCTTTAAATTGACGGTATATCCTACTATAGTACGATACATCTACCATAGCCATACTGTTCTACCACTTCACCTAAACAATAGAGAAAAACTAATGATTAAAGTTTCACAAAATATCACAAATTATTCATGAAATTAAAACGATAAACACAACTGTAAACAATCCTACTTTGCCAGTCCTCATCAGTGGCGTAACTGAAGGGCCCGCAGTGCTGGGGGGCGCGGGAGCCGCGGAGGCCCGCGAACCGGTGAGCGTGAGTGGGAATTGACGAGCGGAAACTGGCGAGCAGAGAAAGAAGGGTCTGCAAGACGAGTGAGCCGAAAATATATAGTTCATTCTTATTGAAATTTATTTTTTATTTATTATTATAAATAATATAATCTGTAGCCTACTAAAGAAGTAATAAAATTAATGTTAAAAATTATATGATATTATTGCTTAATTGCTTAATTTTGTTAGGCCTATTCAGTGATAACCAAGGCGTCAAATTTAACGTTTTACACTGTCTATATCTGCAACTGCTACGAAATACGTTAAGTTGGCAAGCGGAGTCACGTTCAACGTTTGATAAAGGTATTAATATTGTCATGTTATGTTGGCAGCTCTGCTTTAACTTCTTATCTGCTCTTCACCCCTATCCCGGCCTCTCACGTTGCAACAACCCTTTACCAGTACACGAGTCAGTCAGTCAAGCAAAGCCTACCCGACAGGCGTCTGCGCTGTGTTGTTTACGTTGGCCGGTTAATATAATTCGTACTTTCTGTTTTATGGTGGAGTGTACTGAAAGTGAAGTGACTACTGACTACGTTATTTGTTATTAATGGCTTGTTTCTATCATGAAGCCATTCAAACCAAAATATGAACATTTAAGTGGTGCACAGAAAAGGAAACTAAAAGCCCAACAAAAACAGTCGGAGGCAAAGCTGAAAAAAATAAATACCTTTTTTACTCCAAGTACTAGTAGTAGTTTAAGTTCAACTTCAACTTCTACAGTTTTAAATTATCCGGTTGAACAAGATAGTAGTGGCAAAATTGACAGTATCGAAAAAGACGATAGTAATTGTGGCGAAAGTTCGTTCAGGGAGGATTCAGGCGATTCACCTTCACCAGAAAGGGACGATAACGTAGACATAGCTACGGATGTCGTGAGTAGTCCTAAATGTAAAACTAATTTAATTAATCCTAATAATACCGTTCAAGATTTTATTGATGACAAGGCTAAGATAACTATTAATGAAATATTACAAAACGTAGTTTATGAGTATCCAACTGATTGCGCAAATTTTCCTTTGGTCTTTTTGGACGAACAAAAAAGTTCGTCATAAGAAACGGCCCTTGCAAACCTCGGGGTCCCTTTCCTAAAGATTCAAAACAAAGTAACAGATCTTTTTCTGAGAAATATTATTTTAACCCTTCCCGGACGGGTGACGGATATATCCGCATAAGTCATTAGCGATTAAGGACGGGTGACGGATATATCAGCCTATGGTTTATTATGTTCCGGACGGGAAGCGGTTATATCCGCCTTCTTTTCAGACAGACTGGCAGGTACTTAAACAGTAACCAGATGTTTCGCGGTACCAAGGCGCCACTTTATGCTCTCTCTCGCACTCCCCCTCTCTCAGGCGCTGCCCCTCTCTCCCGCGCTGCCCCTCTCTCCCGCGCCGCCCCTTTCTCCCTCACACCAACCACCTCTCCTACACCCCCCACGACGTTTCGCGCTCAAAACCACGTTGTCTGTGTGTTGGCACCAAACGTTACAGTTGTCTGTCTAGCAGAATGAGATAGTGATGCACGATGGCTTATAACGTAAATAGTACTAGTTTTTCTGGTGATATTATTGAGTTATTGAACAAGAGTTTTTCGGAGGGTGATGTTGCTGTTGATGGAATGGAATTGGACGAAGATGACAACATATCTGTGCGTAGTTGTGATGTAAATAATGCAAATATCGATGGAAATGATATTGATATAGTAAATGGTTTTGTATCCGAAAATGACAAAGACGCTGATGTTCCTCAAGATGAATGTAATGTGGTTCAAGTGGAAAGTATTAGTGATGAACAAGTTAGTGAGGACAATATTGGGAATGCCTCAAGTTTTATTGACTCGGAAAAAGAAAGCCTTCATAGTTCAACCAATGAATCTACAATGGCGTCCAAAAAGTCATTTGCAAAGAACTCTAAAAAGCCATCTAAAAAGAGGTCTACAGAGGCACAACGACCAAATCTAACTAAAGCTAAACTCCTTCGTATGAAGTGGGATAAGGAGTATGCTTTTGTGACCGACAGTGACAGTGGACCTGTAAGTACTATTCCTATTTATAACTGCAATTACAGTCGTAATCTGCCTACAGAATTTGATCTCACTTCAAAACCAATTGATTTCTTTTCACTTTACTTTCATAGTAATCTAATACAATTGATTTGTGATGAAACCAATCTATATGCTCAAAGTTTGCCTATTCAAAACCAAAGGAAACAAAAGGTTTGGGCTGATACAACAACCACAGAGATCCGAGCTCTTCTCGGGGTTGTACTGAATATGGGACTTCACCCGTTGCCTGATATAAAGGACTACTTTTCATTGTCCTGGGTAAACAAGATGCCCTTTTTTTCCGATGTTTTTACTCGAGATAGGTTTTTGATGCTGTTTTGGAGATTACACTTTAGTCATGAACAGGGAAGCGCACGTGACCTCAAAATAAGAAATATTGTGAACACAATTCAAGAGCAATGTAAACTATTTTATACGCCAAGCTCGTATGTGTCAGTGGATGAGAGCACTATTTCATTCAAGGGCAAGATTTCATTCAGAGTTTACAACCCCGACAAGCCTGTAAAATTTGGGCTAAAAGTGTTTGTTCTTTCTGATGCTCTGAATGGGTATATTTACAGTTTTAGCCCATATTACGGTAAAAGTGATGGTAACGAGGATGAGCTTTTGAAAACAACAAATACTGTTCTACAACTCTGCGATTCTTTAGTAAAAGATCCCCTGGACCCACCATCTGGTCACCATGTATACGTCGACCGTTACTACAATAGCCCTGAACTGGCTAAAGAGTTGCTGAAGAAAAATATGTTTGTTACGGGAACGGTTATGAATAATAGAAAGGAAATGCCAACACTAAGCAAACCGCTCAATTGTGGTGATGTAGAAGCACGAAGAAACAAAGACTTGGGTGTTATTTATTGGAAGGACAAAAGAGTGGTAACTATGCTTACAACCAAACACAAAATAAGCCGGAATGAGATGACAGAGAAGCCCAAATGAGCAAGTAGCCAAATAAACCTCCTGTTCTAAAGCCTGATGTTGTCTTAGATTACACTAAACACATGGGTGGAGTTGATCGTGCTGACCACGTGATATCTAGTTATCAGTTTATGAGGCGTACTAAAAAATGGTATCGCAAACTTTTCTTTTGGCTCCTTGAAGTGTCTACTATAAACTCTTATATTCTATATAAATCCTTGCAAGAAGACAACAACAGAGTAGCAATGTCTCACAAACAGTTTAGACTTAGCCTTGTGGAAGATTTAGTAAGAGACTACGTTCAGGAGACCTGCAATTTTACAAGAAGACGACCAGGACGACCGAAAAATGATATTCAACGGCTGAACGGAAAACTCCATGTTATGGGCAAATCACCGAAGGGGTCCTTCAGATGTCATGTTTGTGCAAAGAACAAAGTTCGTAAGGAAACTGTGTACTTTTGTAAAACATGTGACGAAAAACCGTAGTTACATCCAGACACATGTTTTGAGGTGTACCACACCCAAAAAGACTATTTTTAGAAGAATGGACTATTTACAGGCACCTTGTAAACTCCGTAAAATGATTTTGTAACCTTTTGAAAACTGAAATTATTGTTATTTTTTCTTGTTTTATAAGAATGGACTATTTACAGGCACCTTGTAAACCCCGTAAAATGATTTTGTAACTTTTTGAAAACTGAAATTGTAGTTCAACTTTTTCTTGAAGTGTTATTTTCTTGAAACAGTTTTATATAATAAACAATGCAACAACATATTGTTCTTTATTTATTACCTAACGTTGTCATAGTCATATCTTCAAAGACGGGTGGCGGATATATCCGCAGCTTTTCTGCTCATCTGCGGACGGGGAGCGGATATATCCGCATAATTTTTTTTCAAATAAAAACGAGTAAAAAATGATTTGGACAGTATGAAGTGTTCCATTGTGTTTATTTTATGTATATTCGTATAATAAAACACAAAAAAGGAAAATTAATTTTTATTTTTTCCTATGATTTTTGACCGTCCTATGTCACGATTTCGCCCGTCCGGGAAGGGTTAAAACCACAAAAACTGGATTGAAAATGTCACGTGAATGGCTTTGTTATTCGCCAATAAAAGATTCAGTATACTGTGAAGCCTGCTGGTTGTTTTCGGAAAGAAGAAACTTACAGTCAACAACATGGATTGATGGTGTACGAGACTGGCAAGGTCTTTCGAAAAAAAAAATTGAAAAACATGAGTCTAGCTATAGTCATTTGAACGCATGTGTCGTATTCAACCTTTGGAGAAAAAATCAAACTGTTGACGTTAATATGGAATCCAGTGAAAAACGAAACCAACAAATGGATTAAAGTGTTGGATCGAATAGTAAATGTAACGCTTACTTTGGCTGCTTCTAATTTAGCTTTTAGGGGCCATAGAGAAAACATTAGTCAACCGAACAGTGGAAACTTTTTGGCCATAATTGACCTTTTGAGTAAATATGATCCAGTTTTACAAGAAATTGTTACTGGACCTAAGCATAGCAATAAATATATGAGCCCTAAGATACAGAATGAGCTCATACAACTTTTATCAAACAAAGTTGAAAATAGTATTTTAAATGAAATTAAATCCGCACAGTTTTTTTCTATAATTATGGACACAACACAAGATGTAACCAAAAAAGACCAACTGAGCAAGTAACAAGATACGTTTCAATTTCAGAGGATGAAGTAGGGAGACCAATTAGTTTGAATATAAAAGAAAGTTTTTTGGGGTTTAAGGAGGTAATCGACCAAACAGGACAAGGTCTAGCAGAAGATATATTAAAAAGTATTGAAGATAAGGGATTGAAGTGATCAAAATGCCGAGGGCAGGGTTACGACGGGGCGGCAAATATGTCTGGGGTGTACCAAGGGGTAAAATCAAGAATCGAAAATAAACAGAAAACTGCGAAGTACGTGCATTGTGCTGCCCACAATTTGAACTTGGTTTTAAATGATGCCATCTCGAAAATTCAAGAAAACCGAATCTTTTTTGACATAGTCGAACAGCTGTATGTTTTTTTCAGCCAAAGTATAAAAAGGTGGGAAATAGTAAGTACAACTACCTATACGTTGAAAAAACTTTGCCCAACACGCTGGTCATCCCGAATCGACTCCTTAAAAGCTTTAAGACTTAATTATGTGGACATTATGAAAGCTTTAACAACAATCATATTAAACTCATCTCAATCAAATGAGAAATCACGAGCAATTTCATTAAAAAAACATCTAGAGAGCTTCGAGTTTATGTTTCAAGTCGTGTTACACACTCTAATCCTTGAGTCAACAAACCTGGTATCAAAGCAACTTCAAAGAAAAGACACGGACCTACAGAAGGCAACCAAGCTATTAAATGACTCAAAAAGTGAACTGGTAAATATTAGAAATAACTATGACGCAGCTGTTGTTACAGCAACAGCAATTGCTCAACAGTGGGGAATTGAGACCAAATTTAAAGACAAGAGACGCCGAAAAGTTAAAAAAACATTTCGACGAACTAGCAGAGGATGAACGGCTAACGAATGCTGACCGTTATTTTAAAACAGTTATATATATAATGGAACTTTAGATACGGTAATAAACCAAATCACGTCAAGATTTGAGGGGATGGACAAAGTCAGTAGTTTATTTTATTTTCTCACCCCGGAGTATTTAACGTCGTCTACGGACGAACAGTTAAATCTGAAATCAACAAAATTAGCTGCTGAATATAAAGATGACTTTACTTCAGATTTTCCTCACCAAATTCTTGGTTTTCGAAGGACTTTGAAAACAGAAATCGTAAAAAAGAAATCTGTAAAAGAAATTTGCGAACTTTTGTGATTGAGTATTATTCTGTTGCGTGCAGCGTCCCAGACGTGTCCACAGCATACATTTTGTTTTTGACATTACCAGTAACTGTTGCTTCAGCTGAAAGATCGTTTTCTAAGTTGAAGTTGATAAAAAACTATCTAAGAAGTACCATGTGTCAAGAAAGACTGAGTGGACTTAGCATACTAAGTATAGAGAGCGAAACGGCAAGGGATATTGATTTAAAAGAGGTGATAAAAGCATTTGCGTCAAAAAACTCTGTACGAATGAGCAAGTTTAAGTAGTGAAGAAGAACTTGAGCTTGAGACATTTTGTTTGAAATTATTTTGTTAACCTTGTTTTATTCAAGAGTCATTTTGGTATTCAAACACCAAACAAGTTATTTGTAAATGTTGCAAGTTAGCTAATTAAATCTAAGAATTTATTAATTTTGAAAGTACATTGTTAACAATTTTCAATAACCAAATAATAATTTCACATTTTGGTTTTGCCCTAATGTTAATTAGTTAAACACAACTTTTTGCTACTTTATATTTAGCCTACTGTTTTTTTTTTGAAATTTTTAGGCCTACCTTACAAATCATTAATACTAGAGAATTGTTGTATTACATTGTTTTAACCCTCCCAGTGTTACTTGACGAAAATTCGACAAGCAGCACACTTTGTGTAGTGTTACTTGTCGATTTTTCGACACGCAGACATCGTTTACGGCGAAGGCTCTATGACTGACTGAATCAGATTGAACTGGATCGAGTTAGGTATCGTTCTTTCCGTAATATTCTAAGCTTTCTCCAGAGGTCTGTCTCTAAGCGCTATTCATTTTAGTTCCGAAAATATTGTAGCAGACAGCTGACGTGCGTGTATTTGTAAACAGCTAGGTTCCCCCGGACCGATGACTGATGTGTTTTATTACGTTTATCATTGTTTTAGTGTTAAAAATCAAAAGTAGTGATATACGTGGTGCATTATAAGAAGATTTAAGTGGTTTTGAAGTGCTGGTTGATGATCCTGAAGAAGTAGGTAGTGATATTGATGTAAATTATCAGCCAGATTCCTAGCTATGGTTAGGCTATGCATTCTTAGCTAAACGCTATGTACTGAAATCAGTTTTTTGCCCATAACTTATTTATTTGCAAATATACTTCCTTATATTATTATATATTTGTAATCCTCATAAAATTTAGAACAAAGTGGCTATTTTCAAATATTTATAGGCCTATAATTTATACAATTTCATTGAGCGCGAACTTATTTTTTTTTTGAAAATTTTCGAAATTATATTTTTTTTACCTAAAAATTTTTTTTTTGAAAAAATGTTCCTTATGTTTTATATATAATATTGAAGGCCATGATTTTCCAAACAAAATGGTATATAGAACATTAGAATTAACATTGTTTTAAGCTTCTCAGATCCGTTTTAATAAAACCTTGCAAATGCGCCAAAAATAGGTGGACATTAAGGCCTAAACTATGGACACTTGGAGGGTTAATCAAGAGTCATTTTGGTATTCAAGTAGCCTATATCAATCAAGTTACGGTAATTAAATTGTAAGTTAATCTATTAAAATCCAAGAATTTATCAATTTTTATAGTACAGTACATTGTTAACAATAACAATTTTCTATAAGCAAATAATTACTTTACATTTTGGTTTTGCCCTAATATTAATTGTGTTCACTGTTCAGTTAAATACAAGATTTTGCTACTCTACTGACTTTGTTTGTTACTTCCTTTTCCTCACAATACATCATTACTAAAGATATATTTGTAATCCTAGGTGAGGTCAATACTTGAAATTCATACAAAGATAAAATAAAAATGCAATATTTTATTCTGTGCTTAAAGTGTGTCATTTTTAAGTTATAGTATATTTCGTACCTAGGGCCGAAAATGAGGTTTTGCCGGCTTGAGATAGTTTTTAAGTTCGAGACGAAGTCGAGAACTTAAATCGATCGAGAGCTGCAAAACCATTTCGGTCCGTGGTACGAACGCTATTTTTCACCACACTTTACCCCATTACCACTATTCACCACTATAATAATGCACACTGATAGTCAACACAACTACAACTTTAAGGTTATGTAAAGAAATAATTTGAGGAATCAGCAAAAATAAAAATAAATAGTTGCTAGGCAACGGTGACAATAACACAATTATATTGCAAAGCTATGGATTTTGATTGTGTATTTAAAATGCATTCATGTTATAAGTAAGTTAGCGGACAGCTGATTTTGCGGCCCCGGCCTGTAAAAACCTGCTCGGTCCCCAAATTACGATGACAGCTGGCATGGCCAGCAAAACGTAACTTTCAGCCACCAATTAACGTATGTAATACAGCCAAAAACATCATAGTGTGGTGAAAACCAATTTTAAGTGTATGAGTTAATCATAAAAATTGACGAAAACTAAACGAATAAACAATTTATTATAAAATGTCTATATCAAACTTCAATGATCTAAAACAATCTGATACGGATTAAAAAAATATGTATTTTTATTTATTTTACAACCACCGATATTGATATAGGTAATGTGTAGGGTGTGAGTGTATGTAGTGATGTAACTTTATCATCAAAACCATGACTGACTGATATACTTAACAGGCCCTTTAATGTTAATCGGGAATGTGAGCTATCATCATGCAAAATTTCTGCCCACTCCGTCCAGTGGTTATTGCGTGATTGAACTTCAAACAAACAAACACACAAACTTTCACATCTATAATATTAGTATGATATACGTTGGTAATCAAGGTGTTAATAATATTCTCAAACTTTATCATTTGAGGCTGAATGTTTCTTGCCTGTTACAGTTCCCGTATCCACCACCTCAAGCCAATGAGCCGACTAAGACTCTCAAGTGTTTGGTGAACATTCGCAAGGAGTCGCTGCGCTTAGTGAGAGCCATAGGAGGAGGAAAAGGCGATGGGGATGTCATCAAACCATCAATTTTCAACTTGGAGTTCACCTTTGACTGTGACGCTCGTACAGCTATCACAATCTATTACTTTGCAACAGAGGAGTTCACTCCTAACGGTGTTGTGTAAGTCCTCAACAGCTTTTAAAAAAAATATATAAACAATTAGTTTAGTAAATGCAAGAAATAATAAGTTACCGTTTGTTAAGGGCTGTATGAACTTGGAGATAAAATGTTTGATGCATAAGTAAAAAAATAATAGTATACCTTAGGATATGATATGATCTATGAATTAAATTAAGGCGTACAGTTTTAAGTAGCTAGAGTACCTATATAGTGTAACCTCGCTATAACGAGCCTCCATGTAACAAATTACTCTATATAACGTGGTATTTTCCAATCCCTGTGAAAACGCCTTAACACTCAATAGAAAATGTGCCTCTATATAGACTTAGTATTCATTATATATAGGGTTTTATACGTATTTTGTTTGCTATACAGCGAACAAAATCAGTAAAACCCTCTATATATAGAATACTAACTCATTTCGTTGGTAATTTACTTACCCCTGTATAACGAATACCCAAAGTTCGGAACCCCTACATAACGAACATAACCTCTATATGATGGATTCCCACGCTCCCGACCCCTGTAATTTATCCGGGGAGTATTTTATTTGTATTTTATCCAAATTTAGTCGACTGTACGAACACGTCTGAACAGGTGAACCACGCCCTTGCACCCGCACCCATGCAAACAAATTGGAAGCGTGATTCCATGTGCAGGGAGGAGGAGCGGCTCACAAAAACTACCAAACAAACAGAAAAACTGTGGAGGAAGGTTCAAGAACAACGCGCCATTTGAGAGAAACCAGCTGTAATGAACAATTAAAAAAACAAACAACAAACGAATCATCAACAAATAATACATGTAAATCAGACTTTTCAGAAATTCAAAAATTTATAGTCCTCATCTATCCTACTAACTCTCAGCCATTTCTTTAGTTATAAAAAAAGATTTTCAATTCAAAGCTTCTAATAATTTTAAATTCCTACTAAGTAAAACAATAAATTACAGTTATAACAATAGAGACCTTTCAATCATTAATTTAGGCTTTGTAAACAATAGGGATGGACGGGATTGAATTTTTAGTTCGGGACGGGACGGGACGGGATTTTTTCTGTGCATAAAAAGAAAGTCTTGAGTATTGCAGTTACCAAAAAAAAGACATACAAAATCAATTTTATACCGTTTGTGGTACTGATCTATAAAAACCAAAAAATGGGTAACAATATACAGGTACCTATAGAAACTTGTGACTGGCGGTCACGGTGCGATCGTCAAAATGACTGTGGTCACGGGGTGATCGTCGGTATGACTCGCGGTCACGGGATGATCGTCGGTATGACTCGCAGTCACGGCGCGATCGTCGGTAGGACTCTCGGTCACGTCCTGATCGTCGGTATGACTCCGCGGTCACGGGGTGATCGCCGGTATGACTCGCGGTCACGGTGCGATCGTCGGTCCAATAATCGCGTCACGTCGTGATCGTCGGTATGACTTCGCGGTCACGGCGCGATTGTCGGTCCAATAATCGCGATCACGTCGTGATCGTCGGTATGACTCCACGGTCACGGTGCGATTGTCGGTCCAATAATCGCGGTCACGTCATGATCATCGGCATGACTCCGCGGTCACGGCACGATTGTCGGTCCAATAATCGCGGTCATGTCGTGATCGTCGGTATGACTCCGCGGTCACGGCACGATCGTCGGTATGACTCGCTGTCACGGTGCGATCGTCGGTATGACTCCGCGGTTACGGCACGATCGTCAGTATGACTCGCGGTTACGGTGCGATCGTCGGTCCAATAATCGCGGTCACGTCGCGATCGTCGGTATGACTCCGCGGTCACGTCGTGATCGTCGGTATGACTCCGCGGTCACGTCGTGATCGTCGGTATGACTCCGCGGTCACGGCATGATCGCCGGTATGACTCCGCGGTCACGGCATGATCGTCAGTATGACTCACGGTCACGTCGTGATCGTCGGTATGACTCCGCGGTCACGTCGTGATCGTCGGTATGACTCCGCGGTCACGTCGTGATCGTCGGTATGACTCCGCGGTCACGTCGTGATCGTCGGTATGACTCCGCGGTCACGTCGTGATCGTCGGTATGACTCCGCGGTCACGGGGTGATCGCCGGTATGACTCCGCGGTCACGGCATGATCGTCGGTATGACTCCGCGGTCACGTGGTGATCGCCAGTATGCCTCGCGGTCACGGCATGATCGTCGGCATGACTCCGCGTTCACGGTGCGATCCTCGGCATGACTCCGCGGTCACGGCGCGATCGTCGGTAGGACTCCGCGGTCACGTGATCGTCGGTATGCCTCGCGGTCACGGCATGATCGTCGGCATGACTCCGCGGTCACGGCGCGATTGTCGGTCCAATAATCGCGGTCACGTCATGATCGTCGCCATGACTCCGCGGTCACGGGGTGATCGTCGGCATGACTCCGCGGTCACGGCGCGATCGTCGAAATGACTTCGTCTCCTGCGTTCGCGGCCCTATCGCTCGCAATAGCGGCGTCATCGGCACTCGCGAAGCGGCAAAATCGCCGACGATCGGACCAAATCCCGTCCCGAAAAATTCCCGAATCAAATGTAATCCCGTCCCGATAATCCCGATAATCGGGAATATTTTTTTCCCGAAAAATTCCCGAAATTTCGGGACCCGTCCATCCCTAGAAACAATTTAGCTTTTAGGGGCCCCGTTGTAGAATAAATAAATCAAATAATTAATAAATAGGCTAGTGAATAAAATTTGGAAACAAAATAACAAATAACAAACTTAAAGTCTCCATTTTGGTAATGGTGAAATAAATATCTATTAGCCTAGGCATATTAAAAAAGATAGCGGAAAGTTTAGGTACAGTCCTAATCACCACTTTTATTTATGTTTTTTTGGTCGCTGAACACGAATATGAGGTTTGCTGACACTTAATATGCCCGAAACATTGTTTATTTTGTGAAAAACTTCAAAATTTGCTAACTTTTTTTAGGTTTTGGGCTGAATCTCGGTAATTATGAGTTTTTGAAAAGACACTGCATTGTAAAACTAAAGAAGACTAAATTTGCTACAAGTTTTATACATAATATTTGTTTCTACGACAAACTGTTACGCCACTAGAGCACGCTAAAAATCGCCAGATGTTCCAAAAATGTAAATAAACACTAAATGCTGCCGTTTTACATTAGGTTTCCATGGAAACAACCCGTGTTACGATAATTTAACTATTTATTCATGATAATAAACTGAAACATCTATTATATTATTAAAGAGATACAATCAAATTTTATGTAAACGGTTAAGGCCATTTACCAAATAAAAATATAGGCATATGGCACATCAAAATGAAGCTTAGAGTGTGTAGATTTGCCGGAAAGTATTTATATGGACGAATATCCTATGGGCTCTGCCCCACAGGCTGATTTCCATAGGGCTACGCCTGGCATGCTTCCAATGTTTACATGATTTAATTTAATTTAGATAATGAAACAGCTGGTCAGTACAATGAACAGGTTTGTTTATTTACTCGAATAAGATGTTTGCTTTATGTGGATTGAGGAGGGTTATGTTTGGTTTTAAAGTGAGGTTGTATATGTTTTGTAAAGAATTGCTCAAAGTTTCATTTTTTAATTTATATAGTAAGCTACATGTGAAGAGTCTTGAATAAAATTGAAGAAAATGGTAAAACATGTCATTAATAAAGCATCAATATGAAGCAATCAATAATTGATGCTATTGCTACACTAAGGTATGTTGTCATATTCTTAGGCATATATTAGATTTTTAAGATTCAAGATTTTTTATTCCAACATTTTTTTTACAAAGCAATGTTACAAATACAAATTATTACAATGCATTTATAAATTAACATTAAAATTAAATTTTAGAACTAAAACTAAACTAAATCATTTACTATAACAAAACAAAAATATAAATCAAATAAATAAGAAAAAATATGTGGTTAGGTATCTCAACAAGTAATACCGCATTGAAGTTTACTGTGTACAATTGAAAAATAAATTATTCTCATGACTTTTACTGGACACATATTTCTTAAGTAATAGAAAGTTTGTTTAGCTGATAGCATGTATTTATTTAGGTGTTTAATATGTTCACTCCAGCTACAGTTTTTATCTATAAAAATACCCAAATACTTAATATTATCTACACATTCTATATACATAAATCTATCACAAGGAAGAGCGACAGACATTAAGCAGGGAACACATTTATAAGAAATGCGATCAAAGCCTACATTTTTGTCCCTTAGCGAAAATATAATGAATTTGGTTTTATTACTTAGTGTTAATTTGTTGTAAGTAAACCAAATCTTCATCAAATCCAAATCATACTGCATATCAAGCTCCAACAAATTTTGAGAAGGTGAGTTATAACATAGTGCTGTGTCATCAGCAAAACTAGTAAGTGAACCCTTAAATGGACCACAACAAAGACTATTGATAAAAACCAAAAAGAGACCCAAAACAGACCCTTGTGGAACGCCACATACTATTGACTTAAAAGAACTATACACATCCTTAATTTTAACACACTGTTTTGTGGTAAAATGGTATTTTAAAACACTTCGAGATTTGTGAGTGGACTGTATAAAAAATTAATTAAATTGCAAAATAGTTACAAAAAAATTGGAGCACTTGGTGTCTTAGCAAATGAGATACAATGAATTATTTTAAGACATTATTTTAACTGTTTTATGATATATTCACTAACCATGAGTTGTGGAGAAGGGAAGCCAAGATGGCGACAACATGGCCGATACCCACGCCATGAGCTGGATGAGCTATTGGGGAAGACGATGGAGGTACACTGTCCAGACGTGTGATGGGAAGAGAAGAGAATGTCTAATCTAAACACTTTTCTTGATGTCGAAACGACGGGTTAGTTTATATGAGCTCAAGAAAATGTTATTGTAGGTAATGTTCACACGCGTTCACGGAAGCCGCACAAGAAGTTCACGTTGAATGGGAGCTATTACTTTTCAGGGAGTTAATACACAGTTAAAAAATACAATTTAAAACATACAATTATGTG